CTGCTGCACGAGGGACAGCAGGACATCGCGTACGTATTGAGTTTGTAAATAAGGGCTTAAATTCATCACAGTCCTGCATTTGTGTAGACTTGCAGAAGACAGATTATAATATTCTACAATCCTCTTGCTTAAATCTGAACACATTTTTCACAGTGTCTGCATTGAAATGCATCTTTATACTTTTAATCTATAGAAAAAGTAAAGCATTCAGTTTAGTGATGTTCTTTTATAGTTTATCTAATTCTTCTTGGCCTGCAGTGGGAAAAGTAAAGCATTCAGTTAGTGATGTTCTTCTATAGTTTATCTAATTCTTCTTGGCCTGCTTACCCAGAATAAATCTCATGAGAGGAAGCACCATGCACACGCACAGTGTAATGAACTCTCCTCTTTCATCTGATGAACCATCCCTGCGGGAATGCAAGAGCAGTACTTTGCTTTTATAGTCTTTGGTTATTTCTGCTCTGGCAGCTTTCTACGAAAATAGAGCTGGAAGGGAAAGAAATCATGAAATGAAAGGAGTTGTTTCCAAGTTGCAGAAGTAGTGCTGTTCTGCAGGGCACCCTGTCGCTGCACGGCTGTTAATGCCGTCCTCGTGGCAGTCATTAAAACCGCTTCCCTCCTGCAGGGTGTCTCAAGGGTCTGTCCAAGCAGGCGGAGGAGCCTCCCAGTCCTACTCTTCTTCTTCCTACTCTCATAGTCAGTTTGGTGAGAAGACAGGTAAGAAATCCTAATTTACCCTCTCCCCATGGCTTTCCCTTTTTATGCTTCATTTCTGTTTGCCTGTTAATCTTCCCTGTGTTATGTTTTTATTGCAACGGGCATGAAACCACTCAGTATGAAACATCTGCAGGGTGCCTTAGCTTCACCTACAGGCACAGACTAAGCTTCTTCCTCCCCTCCTTGCTCAAACAGCCGGGCGTTTACATGACCGAACACATCCGAACGCGCTGGGCTGCAGGAGGCCCTCGATCTCCCCGGCAGTCGGGTAACGCTTCCCTCTTCCTTCCCCAGGGCAGGCACGAGTGTGTTAGGCTGCAGGGAAGGGGCCGCCGCGCTCCGATCTGCGGCCCGGCGCCCACGCAGACCTTCCCCGGGAGGCTCCGCAACGCGGGCGGCTCGACCCAAGTCACTCACGAGGCTAAGACGACTCCTCCGCAAATCCACAACTTCTTCCTTTTTGTATCGTTCCTCATATGTAGTCACTGTCATTTCTATTCATTAATCTGCACCAAAGTTAGTGATCTTCTTTCTGCTGACAACAGTATCTCTAATAAAACTTTTCTGCAATGCAAAGAAAAATATGTGTCCAGCAAGTGACTTGATTTGTTATTAATTTTATGAATACTCAGATTTAGCTGGAGCCAGTGACATTCACATGGAAATTAAGGTTGTGCATATTATTTAATAGGGCTCCAGAAAGCTGTCCTAACTTCATCAGATGATGTCTGCAACCCCTCTCTGAACTACATTCACCCTGAACACAGCAGTGACAGTTACAGGGAAGGAAAGGGACAGGGAAGCCCTTTTTCGTGTGTGTGCAGCAAGGGGTGTGCAAGCAGCTGAACTGAAAGAATCATTTAGAGGGACTAAAATCTGAATTTTTAGAGGGAGTAAAACCAGACCCGAGCAGGCTCTGCCACACAGCAGGGCAGCGACTCGGGCCTGGCCGGGCCGCAGGGCTCCCTGCTCGACACGCGGCGCTCCTGTTTTCTGCCTGGTCAGACGGCACCGCACTCGGGTGCGCTTGGGGTAGCTGAAATGCCCTATTTTGGGACATTTTTGTGGCCCTACTCGCAGTCACAAACTCCTGCAGGCTCCTGCCCTGCCTCGTGCTACGCGCTGCTCCGACCGGCCATTCCCACTACCACAACAACAGGCCCAACCTCACCGCCCCCTGGCACCTGTAAGGTGCGTGGGGTAAAGGGCCTGTTTGCCTGCAGTCTGAGGAGAGCAAGAGGCTGCTCGTGGGCCCAGGAGGCTCCGTCGCTGTCCCCGGTGGGAAGGAGGTGACAGTCGGGTGGCCCCAGGCCCTGCCGTGACCTAAACCGGGGCCGCGGCCGCAGCTCCGCAGCGCAGACGCCCCTGGGCTTCCCCTGCCTGTGCTGGGGGTGCCATTTGCGCCCTGTCGCGTTAAAGCGCATCGAAGCGACGGGCTGAGGTGAAACCAGGCCCAGGCGTTCGCTGTTCCCTGTGGCGAGGACGGAATGCCGGCGGAGCGGGATGCCAGTTCGTACAGCAGCCTCTGCTGGCAAACGCGGAGAAGACACAAGGGATCTGGGACGAAAACGCTTCAACACGGGCTCCAAACCTGGAGGGCCCTTGCCAAGGTCACAGGCCCCTAGCACGGCGCCACAATTTCGATTTTTTTTGAAGTCGCAACTCAATGGGCCTCTGAGCAAGAAAGAGACAAAAGAGTGTGAAAAAGCTGCTTCTGGATACATCAGTATTTACAGGCCTACCACAATCATACCGGTAGTGAGGATAAGACAGTACAAAAATTCTTATAGAAAAATCTAGTTATTAAGGGGAGAATAGCGATGGCGCATGGCCCCTCGGCTCCAAGGACGGCCTTGGGGCTGACAATACGTCCCTGTCCCTGCTCGTTGTGGCTCCCGGGCTGGAGCAGACCGGCCGGGCAGGTTTTCCTACCCCGCTGAACAGGCCGTGCAGACCCGGGGGAGGACGGGGGGAGCCCGGCAGGCAGAACCACCCTCCGTCTCCCCTAGGAAGGGTCCGTCCCGGCCGCACGCGCTGCAGGGCTGGCACCGAGCGCGCCGCGCCGTGCACGTACGGACACATCTAGCGAGATATTCCCTACCCGCGTCCTTGCGGGGTTGCTCTTTTTGACACAGCGCGATCGGATACAGAAAGTTTGCAATGGAGCTGTTGACACAGGTGTCCTGGCCCCCTTCCAGGCCGTCTGTTTATTCTTTCGCACTCCCTGTTCTTGCCCTGCAGTTTGACATCTCCCTCGGCGCGCGGGAGCGACGCTCTGGGCTGTTGTTTAACAGACCTGGGGCATTTTTGTGTGTGTATCAAGACTGGACAGGCCTTGGTGCAGCCTATGCACTTCTTGCAGGCCACGTTTAAACATTTAAGATTTAAACATTTTAGGAATAACATTTTCATGAATCTCAAAGACCAAAGACTAAGTGATTCTGCTTTTTTTTTTTTTCCCTGATTTCCCTCTTTTGGTAGCAGTGAAAGGTCATACTGCCTAACGAGGCCCCTTTTCCTGCTGCTGCTCATGGCAGAGATCCTTGGCGAAGCTGAAACCTTATTTCTGCTGCAAAGAGGACTCTCATTTGTACAAAAACATGCTTTTTCACATCCAAAAACACTGAGAGCGAAGAACTTTTAGTGGAATTTCCCTTTTTGGAAGCAGGCCTTTTCACAAGGGAAGGAAGCGGGAGCAGGTGGCAGCTCCCCACCCCAGCTCCCTTCGGGCTCTGTTATCGGTCGGCCGCTGAATTCGTCTGTGTTAAAGCCCTTTGCTGAGATTACGTGCCCAAGCGCCCGTGCGGCGGCACAGCGTGTTCAGGGCAGCAGAGGTGCGGGCTCCCGGCCCTCTCCGCGCTCGGCTGAACAGTAATTCTAGATTTACGAGCGCTCGGGACCGTTCTCTGAATCCCCCTTTTGTTCCAAGCGGAAACGGCTCCGGGGGAGGGAAGGAGCTCCCAGGTAGCCAGGTATTTGGCAAAGAACCGCAGCCCATTGACAGCCGCTGACCAATGGGAGGAATGGCTGTGTTGGCAGAAGGCTCCGGCCGATAAATTCCTGGGCTCGGATAACACCTTGGAGAGACAACTCCCTCCGGAGCTGCATAAAAGCGTGGGCTGGGGGAGAGCTGCAGAGCGCTGCGCCGGCCACGCGCTCTGTGAACCGGGACTTGGGTCAGGGCTTTGGCATTTCTTACCATGGCCACTTACAGCTTCAGGCAAGCCACCTTTTCTGGGCCCGGGGGTCTTGGTGGCTCCTCAGCCCGTCTTGGAGGCTCCTTCAGGACCCCGAGTATCCACGGGGGATCTGGTGGCAGGGGCGTGCAGGTCTCCTCTGCTCGGTTGGTCTCCTCTGGCCTCGGCAGCGCTGTCGGTGGTGGCTATGGCGGTGGCTTTAGCAGTAGCTTCTCTGGTGGCTTTGGTGGCGGCTACGGCGGTGGCGTGGGCAGTGGCGATGGCCTCCTTTCGGGGAACGAAAAGATAACTATGCAAAACCTGAACGACCGCCTGGCATCCTACCTGGACAAAGTGCGAGCGCTGGAAGAGGCGAATTCCGATCTTGAAATCAAAATCCGAGACTGGTACCAGAAACAAGGACCAGGCCCTGCTCGGGACTACAGTCCTTATTACAAGACTATCGAAGACCTTCGAGAAAAGGTAGGTGTTAGCACTTATTGAAAAGCAGCTTGGTTTGCACAAACAGAGAGAATCTTTACTAGAAAAACAGCCGGGAGGGATTGCGGATTACAAAAACGATAGGAAGATTAAACGGATCGCGGTGAGTCAGCAGGGATGGATAACGAGCAGGTTCCCTGGGGAATGAACTACTATTGAAAACGTTAGGGAAGAGAATGAATAGAGCAGGCAGCTTGAGATGCCGCAGTGCTTAGCTCCCTGATGACACTTGTTTTCCAACAGTCAGCGATGAGGATGAGTGGATTTGAGGCCACAGCAGAGGTAAATCTGAGCAGCACTCCAGCAAACTGCAGTAAATTCTCTAACAGTTTCACTTAATTTTGCCGACTTTTGTGTAGAGCTTTTTTCTATGTTTCAATAACTTCAGCAGATAGTACTTATTGGTAAGTATTGCACTTATCTTCAGAATTAACTGATCCATATATCCACGCATGTATGCATGTATATATAAAGCAAGCCTTCTAAATCAGACAACAGCAAGTTAACAGCAACCCACCTGCCTCTGCAATTTCTTGCCTGCCTCGCAGCCTGCAAACCTTTGGAGAGGCCCATAGCCATCGTTTCAATAGGAAAAATAAGACCTGGTCCCGTTCAGTTTTGCAAATGTGAAGGGAGTATTTGAGGATTTCCTCCCCATAGACGGACTTGCCTTGTAGGAGTCTCTTCCTTGAGCTGGGCATGGAAATCAGAGCGCTGCAATACTTGGCTCACAGCCCAAGAAAGCAGCAGCCACGCAGTGACCGATCGCCCTGATAACGGCGGGATCCCTGTTGCCCCCCCAGCCACGGCTGGGTGATAACAGGTTGCTCTAGCAGGACACACACCCTGGCAAACACACAGGGCTGCTGACTAACCTGGGTAAATAAATGAACCAAAACGGGAGGTTCAGCTTGGAGTTCATGACCCCTCCCTTGCAGCTACTTTGCTCTTGCTTTAACCATTCACCCTCTGCCCGGCTTCAGCAACCCGGTTCCAGGAGCAAACACAACGGGGAATTTCATTTTCTCATTGCAGTAGCAATTTCCCACTTGGCTTCTATTCCCTTTAGTCAGGGAGTTCCGCCTGCTTTTCTAGATGATCTCCTGATTTTTGAAAGTGCCTGATGAAAAGACAAGTTTTCCAGATACACATTTAAACAATCCTTTTAAAATAATAATAAAAAAATCCCTTGTGGCTGTTCATAGTGCATTAAAAGAGTCACTGAGCAGTGGTTAGGCTAGGAAATAAAAACGTATTCAAGGAGTACAGGAATGAAGTATGAAGGCGCACTGTTTATGTTATTGCATTATGTATGCAAACGTAGTGTACTCCAAGTACTCGGATAGATCCCTGCATTTGCCATTCCCCGCTGAGACCCGGCGCAGCTCAGTCCTCGGTGCCGATGCCGCAGGGAAGCGGCTCCGGCTCCGGCCCTGAGTCGCTCCCCTTGTTTGCAGATCATGGCTGCCACCATCGACAACTCCAAGGTGGTGCTGCAGATCGACAACGCCAGGCTGGCTGCTGATGACTTCAAAACCAAGTGAGTATCTTCCCAGAGAGGTTGTGGAGTCTCCTTCTCTGGAGATCTTCAATCCCGCTTGGACGCAGCCCTGTGCCACGTGCTCTAGGTGACCCTGCATGTGCAGGGGTTTGGACTGGATGATCTCTAGAGGTCCCTTCCAACCTTGAGCATTCTGTGATTCCATGATTCTATTTTCCGGAAGGCAAAAGGGCTCTAATGCCTGTGAGTGCCCTTGCTGAGCCACTGGGTGGTGGCTGTGCTAGAGCAAAGTTAATAAAAGTCTGTGTGTTATCAATGGTTCAATCCTGTCATTGTGACCCAACCCTTCACAGATTTGCAGAAAGCCTCATCTACACTACAGGCAATTTTATATCATGTGGCACATACGGAGCCGGGTTTAACACTGAACATTTGCTAAATGTCAGGGTTTCTGCCCTACAAACCTGGATACATTTGGACCATATGCTGCGTTCATGGCATGCTGGCTCCCCAGCTCCCTCAGCAGTTGTGTTTTGCTCTGCTGTTTGGAAGGTTTGAGACAAACACAGTGCCCTGACCCCCCTGTGCTGTGCAAAGCTGCACAGGCCCTTTTGATAAAATTTAATAAAAACAAACTAATTAACTAAAGTAGGCCAGGCTGGGGAAGGAAGCAAGACAGAAAAGCTCCCCACCAGCCGGGCTCCAAGGTGCGACTCTTTCCTTGCTGCCAGGTTTGAGACGGAGCAGGCTCTGCGCCTGAGCGTGGAGGCCGACATCAACGGCCTGCGCAGGGTCCTGGACGAGCTGACCCTGGCCAGGGCTGACCTGGAGATGCAGATCGAGAACCTCAAGGAGGAGCTGGCCTACCTCAAGAAGAACCACGAGGAGGTGAGAGCTCTGGCAACGCAGAGAGAAAACTCCTTCCATTTAGCACTTAATCCTTCCAGCTGGGGGGAAAACCAAACCACAGTGACAGTTTTACAGCTAAATGATTAAGAAGAAAACCACGATCTCACAAGAATCCACACTCTGCCCTATAAAGCACTTCTCCAATTCCAAACTATCCAGAACTGTGAGTTTTCAGTTTTACCAGCATAAGCCTGTGCCACTGACTGAAAAGAAAGGAAGGATGCCGAGAACTGGTTCCACAGCAAGGTAGAGAACACTCCACACACGTACAATATACCAACCAAAAGATCCACAAAAGAAAGAAAATGGTTTTTGAAGCGTGCATAGGAGGGCTGTGAAAGCCTCATGGGCTCTAGGAAGAAGCCTGGCATTTCTCACCCAAGTTTTTCCCCCGTTTCAGACCGAGGAGCTGAACCGTGAAGTCGCCGTCAACACGGAGCAGCTGCAGAGCAGCAAGACGGAGGTGACGGAGCTGCGGCGCACGCTGCAGGGGCTGGACCTGGAGCTGCAGTCCCAGCTGAGCACGGTGCGTCCCGGCGCCGCGCGCCCGGCCCCGCGCGCGGGCCTGCTCCCACCAGCAGCCCCCCGTCCTCCCTTTCCTCTGTGCATCCGCAGAAAGCGGCGCTGGAAAACACGCTGGCCGACACGGAAGGGCGCTACGGAGCGCAGCTGGCGCACATCCAGGCGCTCATCTCCAGCGTGGAGGCGCAGCTGGGCGAGCTGCGCGCCGACATGGAGCGCCAGAACGGCGAGTACCGCGTCCTCATGGACATCAAGACGCGCCTGGAGCAGGAGATCGCCACGTACCGCCAGCTCCTCGAGGGCCACGACAGCCCGTGAGTAGCCGTGCGGGCGCCGCGCGCCCGGCCGCCACCTCCTGCCCGTTCAGCATCTGGCAAATGATTTTTCTGGGCCGTGCTAGAAACGTCCCAGTCTCCATTTATGTTCCGTAGGCACCTCAGAGAGCAGAAAAACGAGGGGCCAAGCTGGCAAACGGCACAGGATTAAACACAGCCACCACTCACAGTGGCAACTAAGCACATACTGGATGTTTAGGGAACTTAATGCAGTTAGTCACGTTTTAAAAATAATCCCAAATTCCCCCAAATTCCCGTTGCCGGGTAGTTTTCCCTCATAGGATTCACTGTAGGAATAAACACTGTGAAGGGACCTGAATGCAGAGCAGCTTAGCTCGCCCCCCCCAGCCACTGAAAGTGCCCGCAGCTCTGTCATCTCCCATATAGCCACAAGGAGGATAATATTTCATAGCCCGAAACAAGAAACGAGGTAGGAGTTTAAAAGCTGGGACTTCCCTTACTCCCCGTTCTCCAGAAATGTCTTTTCACTTCAGTCATTAATGCTGTTGCCGAAGGGGGTGGCAAGGAAACGAGTATCTCCCATCTGACCATGTCTAACATGTAGCTGCTCGAGACTTTGCTTCCTGCAGCCTCCTCCCCGCTGCTCCCCCTCCTCTCATCCGCTATCTTGTTGCTTTACAGGACGTTTGGCTCCCTTTCTGCTGCTGGTAAGGATGTTTTCTCTTTCTAAAAAGAAAAACGCATTCCCCGTGGTAGCTGTGCCTATTTTAGAGACAGGGCTGCTGCTCTGACTCTGAAAACAAACCGAAGTAGTAGCCAATGATGACTCCGGCTAGAATTTAGCAAATTATAGTCATTAAAAGATGCGAGACATCAATCAAAAAGTCTGACTATGCTCCGGGAAAGGTTAAGCACATCACCAACTGAATAGTCATTCCCCCAGGTGAAAGGATCCAAGAAGTCTGAGCTTGGCCAGCTCGGGGGCGTTGTACGAACATGCAAGAAAACTATTTCTTGAGCTTTAAAGTTTCAGCTGTGGAGCAGAAGTGATGTGGGATTCAAATCAGTGCCAGGAAGAGGAAAACACCTGGGAGAAGGGAATGAGATGAGGGGGCCGTAACTCGGGGCCCTGGCAGAGCCCTGGGTGGCTCTGGGCCACCCTTCGATGGCGCCTGCTCCTTCCTTGTTTTCTTGCAGACGCAGGGGACAAGGCGGCTGACGGCAAGAGGAACTAGAGGGCTTCGACATTGCACCTTAAAAATGCGGGGTTTGGCATGGGGCAGCCAACACACAGGAATCAAAACGGAGAGGAATCACTACAAACTGCTGGAAATGAGCATGTTCAAGCACAGAAAAGCCTGGCCTACCTGGCGTCTAGGCAGACTGCTGCGTTTAGCACTGATTTCCTTTTGAAGTAGGTTTGGTGTTTAGTCATTTCAAGTTCTTTCCTGTACTGAATTGTTGTATCTACTCTAATAAAAGTGATCTGTTTCTTGCAAATGTAACTTCTGTTTGTGATATCATTACCGCAATTTGGCCTTGTTTGGGAAACACCAGCACTATCCAACCTCGGTGACACACGGGGGCTTCAGCTCCGTCCCCGTCTCCTCAGCCAACTTCTGAGGCCAGCAGGAGCCCTGAGCGTGGGGTCCCCAGCGTGGGGACAGCGGGAATTACGTGAGGAGCCGCAAGGGCTGCGGGCTCCCAAGAGCAGCAACAGGGAGATGTTTCATGGCTTTGGCCGGGAGGGAGCCCTGGGAGGGAGACTGGGAGGATAAAACACAGAGCTGTTAGAATGGTTTGACAAGATCCCTAGGGAAGCAAATGGCACTGAGAGGCTGGGGTGATTCCTTCACTTTCTATCCTCATAGAAATTGAAGAAGCTGATCTTCAGCTTACAATAAAATCCTCAGTTTGTAGAGTTAGGTAACAAAACTTCAGCCACCTTCATTCCCAAAGCCTGACGGGCATACGGAGCATCACTCACATTCCAAATGGGAACGGTCACCTCGCACACACCTTGCTGACTTCATTCCCACCAGGGTTCCAGAAGCAAAGCAAAGGAAATTTCCCTGGTTCTCTGCTAAACACAAACCAGGGCTACGGCTTCGGCACCATATTCCCACTTGCAACGACTGTAAGAGGCATTTGGGTAACTAGTGACCTGGGGACAAAAGCAAAGGGACCAAATCGAGGGGGTCTGCCCTGACTGCAGCGGGTGCAGACACCACCCAGCCCGTGGTCCCTGCGCCCTGACAAACCGTTTTGTCTCTGTTCATGTAGCTCAGAACGCAGCGAAACGTGTCCCGAGCCAGGACCGTGCCAGGCTGCGCCCGTGACGCAGGGGACCTGTCAATACCCGCTCCGAGTGCTGACACCGACAAGCCCAGCTCAGCCCCTGCAAGCCTGGCAGCGTCAGCACCGAAAACTCCGACAGCAAAGAACAGCCGCGAAAAGCTTGGCTCAGCACACACCTATGGAGAGGAAGGGTCGGAGATGGGAAGAGCTGCAGGACTCCGGGGTCTGGAATCACTTCAGGATCCAAAAGCTGGATGTTTCCGGAGTGGAGGCTTCGGAAAGAGATCAGAAACAATCTTGAAAATGCTGCTTGGATGTCTAATTCAATGATGCTAATGATGCTAATTCAAAGTTATCTCGTAATTTTAATAACACTGTCCAAAATTTGTAGGGCAATGAAGGCTTTTTGGAGAAACACTTAACAAGAAATCCCCTAGGGAATATAATGCAGAGCTTGGTTCAGGGGAAAAAAAAGGCTTTTCTAAAGGTATGGGACGTGTGAGTGATGGTTTTATCAGCAAAAGTCGGAGATGATAAACAAGCTGCTTCTTGAATGAGGCTCTTTGGGTGGAAGGAGAGGCTGCCCTGTGTCAACCGCGATAATCCAGCCGCAGAATCGGAGCGTTTGCTCAGCACGGACATGTCGGGAATCGTCTCGCGGGGGCCCCTGCGGGAGCGGGACGAGGCAGGGAGCCTCTGTGCCACGAACGCAGGCTCCGGGGCAGGACGCGAGATAAGGAATCCGAGTGGGAACAGTGCAAAGGCACAGGCTTCAAATCGCATTTTTACCTTGGCAAGTGAGAAACTTCCCTTTCGTTAGGCAGACTGTGAGGAGAAAACTCTCTGGATCCATTTCATGCTCCAGCTGTGGAAAACAGCTCGATGCACAGTGCAGAGAACAACCCAATCTGATACAGCGACAGCAAATAAATAAATATATAAATAAATAAAAAACAAGGGAGGACTTTGAGAAGTTACTGAAAACCATGACAGGTTATGAACCTCGGAGCACTCCAAGCCTCACGAATTTAGGGAAATGTAAATAACATCAGGTGAACATGGCTAACATGGAGGATGAGGGCTGCCAGCAGCAGCACAGCCACATGCAGCTAAACACGGGCCCCCTCTGGGTTAGCTGAGGGCCGGAGGCTGCGCCGGGGCCGCGGGAGCCGCTCCGCAGCCTCCAGCTGGTGGGGACCGATGCCGGGACCTGAGCTCGGTGCCCTGGAGAAAGCCGAAAAAGCCCCAGGCTCCCCGCAATCCCCATGGATTTTGGAATTCTGCTATAGCACAAGAATCTTTATGGGCTTTTTGATCTTTTCTTTTCCCAGCAGTAAATACTTTGCAGATAAAAGAAACCAAGCAGCTTTGTATCTGCTCCCTGGGGTGTTGAGCTGATAGGGATCTCGATTGCTGCAGGAGGGAGGCTCTTGAAGAAGCACTGAGGTGTGCTCTACCAGCGAGGTTTCCAGGCAGTTTTACGCACTAAATGAAGTAATACTGAAAGAAAAACGCCACATTCGAGTGGGCGCTTTCTCTCGGAGTGGTTTTGTGGAATTTTTTGGAAGGAAGTGGCTTGTGGTGGGAGCAGAGCCCCGCATCGAGCACCCTGCAGCACAGCCACATTGCAGGGGGCTTCCAGAAACCTCAGGGTTTTTTATCTTTAGGAGAGCTTGTCCCAACTTGTCTCCTGAGATATGAACTCCTGGAGATGGAGAGATCTGGTGAGATCCTCAGGACTATTAATCTGCCCCATGGCAAAACGGAGCTGCGGCGGCACAGGGCCAGGGGAGCGGGAACAGGTTTCCACGGCTCCGAAACAGCCGCTCCTCGCCCAGCGCCGGGGGAGTCCGGGGCGCTTCCAGCAGGACGCGGAGCTGCCGCTCACACGAGGCTCCAGGATCTGGAAGGTCTTTTCCAACCAAAGCGATTCCATGACTCCTTTATGATTCCATGAAGGAGCTGGACAGGCTCCTTCGTCCCAGCGCACGCTCCTGCCTCAGCTCTCCACCCAGCACCCATGCTGTATTCTGAGGCCTTTTGCTATCAATATGCCTAAAACTGTGGAAAATTCTGTGTTTTGTTACCAAACCTTTGTTTTTTCTTGATTCCAAAGTTGTCTGTTGAAATAAATCGGAGCTAAAACCCAGAAAAGGCTCTGCCCATCTCCGCTCCGGCCCTGCTTCGGTCCCACCTCTCTCAGCCCCGGGTTTCTCAACCCGCCGAGCCCCAGGGGCTGGGTCTCCCATTGCTCCTGTCACAGAGCGGTGACTTCCACCTCAGGAATGTCACCCGGCCCTGCAGGGAGAATGGGGCTCTCCGCAAAGCCACCCGGTGCCACCGCCCGCGCTCGGCCGCGTCCCCGGACGCGCCCCGGCTGTCGAACACGGCTCCGAAAATCTCCAAAATCTGGTTTCCCATAATGTTGCAGCATTAAAATGTGCTTGTCAACAGAATTATGAATTCCTGACTTCTGAATTTCACAAGAAAGTTGTTAGGATTGAACCAGACCAATATTCAAAAATCCCTGTGTGAACGGAGGGATAACATCACTTCCAGAAGTCAGTCCCATGCCTTATTTTCCAGGTCCATTCCATTTCCTAGCACCCACGGGCAGCATTCACATCCTTCACGAAGGAGCGGTTCCATCTGAAACCCCATTTGTAGAGGCTTCCCCAGAACAACGGGAATTTGGTCTGGCATTTTTTCTTTCAACTGAATTACTTCCATCGTATATTCCTTGTACACTGAGGATGCTCGCTATCCCCCAAGCAATGATGTGCTAAAAGCTCAGATTCCAAAATCTAAAAATCAATTCTGAGCAAAGAACAGGGATAAAATAAGTGACAAATTCAATTCCAAGTGTTTAATGCGAAGAATATGAGTAGAAATGGTTGGGCATGGTGCGGGGCAGCAATGACAGCACCTTTTCCAACGAAAGTGGAATTTTACCTCAAACGAGCTTCACTTTTTGGCGGGGCGAGCGCTGCGAACGGCTCCGCGGGTGTGGCCGAACGGGCACTGTTTTTCCACTCTTGGACGCGAGCGCTGCAGGTTTCAGAACCGTAGCCTGGAGAAAAAACAGTAACCTGAATCATCCCTTTTGTTTAATTGGAAGCCAAAACAAGCAGCCCTGGCCCTGGGAT